GATTATTTTATTAGTGAATCTCTTTTTTTTTTTTTTTTCCCCTCCCTTTTTTTTTTTAAATGGCTTATTATGTAGGTTTATCTACTAGTCATTTTGCCTGGGCATTTCATTCAGTGGCAGAAGAAGAACTACTGAGCATGCTCCCTGCAGTACAGAAAGGAGATCCAACATGGTCGGAACTCAGAGCTATGGGTATAGGATGGTGGGTTCGAAATATCCATAGCCTGAGGAAATGTATAGAAAAGGTAAACGTAGCATTCTGAAACAAAATTACCAAACTTTTTTCAAACAGCTGTCCTCTGGTGTTTACCTTCTATTTATGTGGTTTTAACTTTTTAGATATGTTCAGTGTTTCTGAGTGTTTTGTGCTCTATTTTTTTGTACGTATAGTTTATTGTATGAATATGAGCTTTTGTATTTAACTGTTTATTTTTAGTACCGTAGGTTTCAAATTCCAGCGTGAAGTACATTGCGGGCTTTTAGATATTCCATTTTGAAGGTGGCAGTGTACAGTGCTTACTGTGGATGCTGAAGACACAGATTTTGCATATAGTTGTTTTTTATAGCAAAACTAGGAAACAAGTTATGTGAAAAAGTTCTCCTTAGAAACCTATCAGAAGCAGGGTCAACTAAAATATTGTACATCTGTTTTGCAAATTGATACATTTCCATGATAACAAAACCTTCTGTTGTTTTGTTTTGGCTTGTTGTTGGTGGTGGGTTTTTTTAATATGTATTTTAATCATCACAGATGTGGCAATAAGCCTAGCCTCATTATCACTTGTTTTAAGCTCTTGGAAAAGCCAAGTGTGTTGAGCTAGAAAATGACATGCACAAGATACTTTGACTACAAAGCACAAAGTGGTAAAATGCATGTGTCTACTTTTACTTTTCAACTTCAGCAATTGATCATCACTTCAGGAAACTTACCTGCCTTGGTTTTGAAAAATTCCAAGTATTCTGGGCCTGCATTTAATGTTACCTTACATGGGTCTTGGACTATTCTTGCTGCCACTTACCCCTTTTTTTCTTTTCAACCTGCAAAAGTAATATCCTGTAAACAGCTTTTCTCCTGTTGTGAGTGGTCCCAGCCTGTTCTTCAAGACTGCATTTTTCCTTTGGTTACCAGAGCAACTAATAAATTAATTTTGTTATGATTTCAGGAACTGATTTCAGCTGTAGGCATTCCCATTTGATCTGCCAAAAAGCTTCTAGAACTGGAAAAGCTTTAGCTAAATGATATCAACCAAAAACAAGGGGTTGAAGCTGTGGTATCTTCATGCGTTCTTATGTCAGACTCATAGTGAGAGGAGGGATCTTATATTAAAGAGAACTTCCATGCACTATGGGGTGTGGCATACCAGAAGCAACAGGAATCCCATTTAAGATTTATTTAAATTTTGGTTGGGTTTTTTTTGCTGTTGAACTGTCTTCACAGGTGGCTAAAGCAGCCTTTCAGCGAAACAATGATCCACTTGATGCTGCCATTTTTTACCTTGCAATGAAAAAGAAGGCTGTGATCTGGGGATTATACAGGTAGGGGACATGCAAGCTCTTATGTGAAGTTTCATACTGTCTGGTATAGCTTTGGGGAAAAAAGTTGAATGCGATGGTAATCCAAAAGAAGTACAAATATTACCATTGAAAGCTGAGATTTGATTTCTAAATCAGTCACTACCTTGGGTAGTTTTTAAGCTTCTTGTATTTACTGAGGTAATGAGTTGCTGTTTCTGAAGGTAGATGCTTCAAATTTTAGTCTCGAATCTACTGTAATTTCAATCACTGCTTAATTCTGATTTACTTTGAGGATTACCTGCGTAGTGTGTGGAATGACATGGCTATCTTTTAGAAGAGTGTTTGTTATAAATTTTACCTTAAGTTCAGAGGACTGAATTAAGTCTGTCTTTTGAACTGGTGTTTCGTAATATAATGTTCAATGTTGCAAACTTTTCAAAAAGTAGTTTGCATTGTCACTTATTCTTAAGACCTCACCTGGGAAAAATGAGCTTTTCTGTATTTGTATCAGGTTAACTGAAAATACCATTAGTTTTTGTATTTACTAAAGTTGTTATTTTAAAATATGAAGCTTAATATGCTTCCAGTGTGGTGAGAGCCTCTGCATTTCCTAATGAAAAGATCTGTGTAAAATTCTACTAGCATCTAAGGAAACGAAGGACCATAATGCATCTAGTAAAATATATAAAATTTTTATCAATTATGTTCAATATGCAGGTCCCAAAAAGATACTAAAATGACACAGTTTTTTGGAAACAACTTTACTGAGGACAGATGGCGTAAAGCAGCATTAAAGAATGCTTTTTCTTTGCTTGGCAAACAGCGTTTTGAACATTCTGCAGCATTTTTCTTGTTGGCAGGACACTTAAAAGATGCAGTGGAGGTAATAAAGTAATGAACTTCTTTTTTTATGTTTAAGACTGTTATATTGTCCCAAACTTAGAAATATATTGAATGTGACTTGCATTTTGCATTCATACAACCACTGAAGATTCTGATTTGTTTGTGCTCTTTCCCACCCTGCCCTCCCACCCCAAATTAATGACAAATACAAATCTTTGATATTGATGTTTTGATTCTGTTTTAGCTCTCATGGTAGTAATACTAAAAAGTCCCATGGTTAATTTCTCCATAATATTATTTAGAGGCCTACCTACCATTAACTTGCTTTCAGATTGTCTGCTCTACCATATGTGAAGACAACATAGTTTTTCAATAGGAAGTTCCAGATCTGAAAACAAAGGCTTTTTGGCAGTGATGTGGGTTGGCTCCTAGAATCCCTTCACAAAAAAAAATTATTTCCTGGATCTGTTTACATTGAAAAGTTGGGAGGAAATTCATCTCTTTGATAATGAAGGATTTGTTCTGTAAAGCTTCGTAACCAAAACATACGGCTTCAAGAGGTGGCATGTGCACACTGACAATGATTTATTGAAGCCAATTGATTTCAAAGATCTATTGCCATGTCAGGCTTAAACTAAAGAAATTGCAAATCAGATCTTGCGTATCATAGTTGGCCACAGCTATTCTGCATAGTTCCTGCTAATTTTTTATGGAATTGATAGACCTAGTTATCTCAATCTAAACAGATTTATGTCACTTCCTGTCTTGTGATCATTTTAACCAGAGGAGAAATTATAACGTTTGGTCTTGTGAATATATTTATTTTCAATTAGGTCTGCCTTGAAAAACTGAATGACATTCAACTGGCTCTTGTAATAGCAAGGCTTTATGAGTCAGAGTTTGAAGTATCTAGTACTTATAAATCTGTACTACAGAAGAGAATTTTGGGAAGTGTGTTTCCTGGAAAAGAGAGCTCAGGAAACATGCACTCTGACCCTTTTCTGCGAAGTATGGCTTACTGGATTTTAGAAGATTATAGCAAGGCTCTTGACACTTTGATTAAACATTCTGTTGAAGATGGAGGTAAGAATATGAGTATTTTGCCTGTTAGGTTGGTTTTAACTATTTGTTGCTTTAAGCAGTAGTTTCTTAAAGCATAGTCTGAACAAGATCAGGTACTGCACAGTTGCTCAGCGTTGCTAGTAAGTAGCTTGCTGTAGCAATGTATTTTTGTACGGTTTTATCCTAAATGTGGTGACTGTGGTGGTGTTATCCTGTATCTCATGAATGGATACTTAATTTATCCTTTAAGTATGTGAATATCAGGATAATGAGAATGACCCTGCAGTGATGCAGCTGTTTTTCCAGCAGCAACTTAAAGATGAAGAGACAAATTAACTTCATTAAGTTAGTCACAAGCTAGGAAAAAATCTTGTTGCATAGTTACATAGCAGAGTCTGGAAGACATGGTGTTTTGTAGCTTTTAGTCCTTGGGAAGAATGGTTGACCACAATGATGAACTGCCATAGCAAAGATTTTGATATCCCCTATGATACAAGAAGGCCCACATGGTGCCTGAAGTAGCATGTAAGTCTCCTAAAGTGATTCTTTTCCCTGTTTACTTGCTAACTTTATAGGCCTTCTAAGAATCAGTTGTATTATTTCCTAAAGTTAATGTTGTCAAGGAAGTTAAATGTATCAAGTCACTAGTAGTTAGCATAATAGCTGGTTTCAGTCCTGGCTACTGAGAGAATCTTGATGGGGATAAATGAAGATTCGAATCCACAGAGTTGTGCAATTAATTTTAAGAACTGATTTCAGTAGAAGTTACATTCCTCAAGATAATTTTGAGCAAATGAGGGATGTAGTATTTAGTTGTTTCCGTCTTGGTCACATCCTTGTGTGTAAAATAATATTTAAATGTTACTAATTCTTCTGTAGAAGAAGTTCAGTGGCTTTTTTGTGGTGTGTTGCTTTATTTTCTTACTTAAAAGGTGCTCTTTCATGTACCTTTTCCTATTATCTGTAGTTAGTTTTGCCATAACTCCTGACAGAGGAAACAGTAAGGATATATCTCAGCTAACCTGGACTCTTCAGAAGCTGTGTGAATCATTCTATGCTGATGCTCGTATCTTTTCAGGGGTTTTCGTGTTGTGCTTTTGGACATGAAAATAAAATCTGTAGGTGCTGCACTGCTGTATAATTCATTTATTTGTATGTAATAGTGATCAATACGTATAAATGTTAAGGATTTCCTGGTTTTATTTTAAGTTGCATTTTTGTTAAGAGGTAGACAAAATAAAAAATACTAATCAAATTTAAAAAAAAATTTTTTTAAAAGTAAAAATAGTAACATATAATATCTTACTGTCGTTTAGTGATGGAGACTTCAGAAATCTAAACTGAACAGGAACATGGTCCTGTTTGACTGCAGGAGAACTAGTCTGACTGCAAGGAAAAGAAATGACAACTGTTTTAAAGGTCTTACCTGGTCTGCCATTCAAGCTTCTCTTTTTAGTAGTGATTAGGTTTGGCAATGTCCTCCCTCCAAAGACACCCAAATGATAAAGGTGTGCAAAGGAAGGCGAAAAGGGGGATGCAATGAAGTAAACAATAGAATGAATATTAAGACCTAATAGCCTTCTGATGAACTTAGAACTTTGCAGATGGATTATTTCATACAGAATGATAGATTTTCCTCCTGATGCAATATCTTTTCAGATGAAGGAGATGGCTCATCGAGTTGTAACCCTGCGGTGTTTAACTTCTATAACTACTTAAGAACACATCCTCTCTTGTTGCGACGTCATTTTGGGTCTTCTGATACATCTTCCACACACATTTGCCTGACAGTAGAAAGTGGATTAGCTGACAAAATCAACCTAGGCGAAAGACGGCTGTTTTTCACCACTGCATATGCGCATCTGAAAGCTGGTTGTCCTATGTTGGCCTTGGAAGTGTTATCAAAGATGCCCAAAGTTGTCAAGAGGTCAAAGTCATTCTGTAGATCCCCTAGTTTAATGGATACTAGTAAAGATTTTTCACCATCTTCTCCAGTTAAAGAGTTGGAAACAAAAGACCAATCTTCCAGTGTTGATTGGTCACAGCCAGTATTGAATGGTCTAGGTTCATCTTCAGATTGTTCATCAGGAAAACATTCAAGTTCAACTCTGTCCTTTGACTGGAGCCAGCCAAGTGTGGTATTCCAAGATGAACACTTGAAACTACAGTCAGACAGTGATGAAAGTGATGAGAGTGAAGATTCTTCCCTGGTAATGAAAGAGCTAAAACCTCTGAAGAAACCTGAAAAATTATATGAAACAAGTTCTAGCTACACAGAATCTTTTAGTGTAGTTGATGACAAAGATATTCTGAGTCCTTCAGAAGATATAATTTCAGCACAGCTGAAGTTTAGAGCATGCCTGAAAATTCTTACTGTAGAGCTTCGTACGCTGTCTACTGGTTATGAGGTAGATGGTGGGAAGCTGAGGTATCAGCTTTATCAGTGGCTTGAAAGAGAAGTGGTAGCTCTTCAAAAGACCTGTGATTATAATGTTGAAGTAGAAGAGATACAGTCAGGAATTAGTGTGATGCCAGAGGAAGCTACGGTACATGAAAACCCTGAAGACTCCGCTGACCAGCAAAAAAATATGCTACAGAAAGAAGACTTTCAGAGAAGACGTCAATGGCTTCTGAAATATCAGTCTCTCCTCAGAATGTTCCTTAGTTACTGTATACTTCATGGCTCTCATGGTGGAGGTTTGGCATCTGTCAGAATGGAATTAATTCTGCTATTGCAGGAGTCTCAGCAGGTATGTGGGGGAGCTTAGTTTGTGTTTTGTCTTGCTTCAGGTTTCTTGTAGATTTTTTTGAATGTGTTCCATATTATTGTTGAAGTTTTCTTATTATAGCATGCAGCTGTTTTATAATAACTGTAACACTGTTTTTAACATGTTATGTTTTCTGTAGGTTATGGGTTTTTTTGTTTAGAGTCCCTTTCCCCTCTTTCAAAAGTTCTGTTCCCTTTAGGAAGCTGCGCTATCACTTTGTGTGTGTTTCTTGCTTGTTTTTAGGAACAGTCAATACAGATACCTTCCAGCCCTCTACCAGAGCAAAGCTCCATACCTCTCCTATTTGCTTGCACAGCTAGTGCCAAAACAGTGGTGGCTAATCCGTTGCTACATCTTGGTAACCTAACTCATGATATATTACATGCCATAATAAACCTTGATTCACCACCTCATCCAGATACTCAGAACAACAAGGTGTGTATTTTTTTTATAGTTGTTTGGGTTTGTTGTTGTCATTGTCCAGGTTGATGAAGTCATGAATCTTTTTCTGACAGCATGAAAACTTTCTGATGTGCCTACCTGTGACAAGTAATAAAACTGTGGAACTTAAGTGTTTTCTGTAGTACTATAATGTTCACTGATTATTACTTATTGTTGAGGTGTTAAGCATCTGGTTCAACAAGCCGAAGTACATTGGCCTCTCTCAGGACTCTGTATTTGTCCAAGATGACATCTGTTATGGAAAACACTTTGTACTACATTATCAGTGTCACGTTTGTCTTTATGACAGTATGATCATTACTTCTGTTATATTAATGATAAACTCTGCATTTCAGTCCTAGACCTAAGTAAAATTAAGTTTTGAAGTGTAAAAACTGATTATCAGCAAAGTGCAGTAAACTCAGACTTTTTTGTGAAACAGTATATATGTTTATACAGTAAAATATAGTCTTTTTTTAAGTTATGTTTCTGTAAGATTGCTTCTATATTTAACCTTGGACTGGAAACCAAACTTAAAGTGTTAGATTAGATCTTTCCTGAAGTTTTGTATGTGTTAGGTCCCAAATAATGTTTACTTTTCCTAGAGATTTCTAGAGACTACTCAAGAGATTGCTCAGTTCCTAGTCTGTGCTTCGTTTCAGAGGGAACAGACAAATAAGTATAATAAACTAATCGTTTTTTACTGAACCTTTTTGATCAACAGATTCTCTAGCTCTTTACGTACGTGTGTTTTGTGATACATTAAGAAAAGTACCAGCTATGATAAAGATCAGTGTGATACTGAGTAAATTGTGTGTGTGTCTGAGAGCTGCACAAGAATTGGTCAAAAACTAAGTTGCATTATAATTTCCATTCTGAAGCAAAGGCTTTGTATTCTGAGACAGCATATTGCTACTGTCTTAGGGTATAATCACTTAAAACTGTTGTACAGAGGTTTAATATGTTGCTGTTTCTTAATTGAAAACATTGCAGCTAGAGCTGATCTATGATTATGGGTTGGTGGGGTGAGTGAGTGCTTCCCCTTCCCTTTCACTGCAAAGTGAACCGATTTCTTCGAATTGAATTCTGAAGAGAAGGTGGCTTTGTAAGTGATTTTTGCCATAAGTGCTTGTACTTTTGATATTCAGCTCTTGTTCCACTGTTACAAATCTGTATGCGTGAAAGGCTATGATACTAACCACTGGTCATCTTGAGTGTAATATGTTCTATAAAACTTTGTCTTACAGATATATGTAATGCATACCTTAGCAGCGTCACTCTCTGCTTGCATCTACCAATGCCTTTGTGATGGCCACAGCTACAGGTAAAGGTCTATGAAAAGTACTTGCTAGAGCATGGTCAACCTATTGTCTCACTGTAGTGATGGTATAATACATAATGCACCGGAAGGTAGTGCTCACACCTGCCTACATCTAGAAAGGGCCATCTCTTGAACAGTTTTAAACATAACTTTTTTTTATAAATACAACATCCCACTTTTCTGTTTCACAGCTCATTTCAAGCAAATCAGTTCACTGGAACAGTGTATCAGACAGTGCTATTAACTCAGCGCCATTCTCTAAGAACAGGAAGCTTAGAAGAAACAGTGACTCCCAATACGTCACCTGCTCAATGGCCAGGTATCTAGAGTTGATTTGTTTCTTTCCTCTTAAGGAAAACTTAATTGTCTGCATCCACTGTAAGAGAATGTAGCTATGCTCTGGACTTTCTAGTAGTATTTGTGACAGCTGTGTGGTAAAAATAAGTTCGTATAATAAAATTTTATCTTCATTTTTCAAAAGCTGTAAGCTAGTAATTCTGGTTATTCACTAAGTCAAGTTGATTTATATTGCTTTCTCTTGCTAAAAAATGTTAGTGGAGGCTCTAGTAAAGGGCAGATAAATGGAAAGTAGGGTGTTGTCCTGTGCTCTACTTGCTCCCCCTGCAGACAACCAGCATTATTCTACTTCCTTACTCTTGAAAAGGACATGAAAGGCTATCTTAGTTTGTGCTCCATCACAGAATGGTTGTAGCTTATGTACAACTTTTGAACTAACGTGAAACTATTGACAATACAAAGTTTATAATGAATTGTGTTCTGCTCTGAAACCCACATAGGACTTCAGGTAGTTCTTAAAGTGTGCTGGGATCTATGCTAATGAACCTACACTAGTCATATTAGAGGGAGTGTAAACCATGTAATATGTGTCTGTATGAGCTTCAGTTTACAGCACTAACTTTAAGTGTAGCCAAGAAATATGCTTTCATATTATGGGATTTGTTTTTTCAATAAGAAAATTTCACATTAAAAATTTTTTTTGGAGAACCTTAAGCAGTCTTTGTATTTGACGCTATACTAGTTTTTCTTTTCTGCAAAACATTCTGTCACTGAATCTACAGATTTCAAAGAGAAATCAGATTGTCATCTGTTTTCTCCTTATTTCATTAGTTGCAGAGTTAAATTTCTAATGAATCGGACAAGGGATTTTTAGCAATTGTGCTAGCAATCACCTTGAACTTATTTCTCTATTTTTTTTTAATAGCATCACATGCTTTATGTGCAAATGGGAGAGCATAACACAAAGCAGAATTCTTTGGCCACTGCTTTTTGTATTTTCTCTTATGTGCACGAAGTGACACAGTTGGAGCCACATCTGAAACTCTATACAACTTTTCGTGGGAGTGTAAAAACACTACAAGATGTTTAGTACTTGGGTGAAAGAACACTTGTCAGACAGTGCATAGTTCAAGTTGATGCGCATGATTTTTGGTTGGCTTTACCAGAGTAAACTGAGAATATAGCATTTCAACTTAGTGTTATGCTGGAATTATAAACCTAACTGGTGAAACAAGCACCACAAGAAAGTCAATGAGCAGATTAGTATTTTTTATCTTAAGATCTGGATGCTATGTATTAAATATGCTGTGAGGTACTGAATTAAAAGTAGAGAATAAAGAGCTAACCCTTTGCTGAAAGAATTGAAGAGCCAGAAAAGAGAGAGCTTGAGACATGGGGGGAAGAAAGATTTATGTAAGTAAAGTAACTAGATGTTGTATCATAGAGTTTCAGTACCAGGGAGTTGAATTAAAGCTGCCAGTGTTTTATTTAAGATATATTCCAAAATGTGAGCGCTTTTTTGTGGTATTTTTTTTCTCTTATTCTTGAAAAGTTGCTATGTATTTCTTTAACTGTTAGCCCAAAAGATGGAGCTGTTAAAAATAAATAGCATGTGACTTTTTCCTGGAGTTTTCCATTTCCTCTAAAACTTAGAATTTTTCTACATTAGAAGGTTGCCAGTCAAAATACCCATGATAATCCAGAGTATGTTCACACACACACATATATGGTTTATTTTTTTTTTTTCTTTATAAATAGGAATAACAGCTCTGATACGTCTCTTGAATTCTGCTGGTGAGGAAGCCCAGCCAGGTCTCACAGTTTTACTTTGTGAAATCCTAACTGCAGTCTATCTGAGTCTGTTCATCCATGGCCTAGCAACACATTCTAGCAATGAGTTGTATAGAATTATGGCTCATCCACTTAACAGCAAAATGTGGTCTGCTATCTTTGGAGGAGGAGCTCATATGCCCAACAGTGGACAACTGCAATTAAAGACAAAAACTGGTTAGTTCTATTGTTTTACTTATATTTGTCTTCTGGGTTTTTTAAGAAAGTGGTGTGACTGCTGAAAGCTTAAGATCAATTGCTTTAAATAGTTCATGTTCAGTAAGAATTCAGTATGGTTTTAGATCAGCAAAGAAAAACAAGGCTCGAAAATTATTAGTATAGGTATTGTGTAGAAGAGAGTAGGAAGCAGAAGTGAATCTTATTGAAATAAGGTTTCCAAGTAGCACAACACTGTAATGTGAGGGGGTTACTTTCATCTTAAAGAGAAAATTTTCAGCACTATTACAGCTTAGTTTTTAATGTTAATTTTAAAGTTTTCCAGTTCTGTCATAACAGGAATATATTCCCATTTTGCAAATACAGTATGTTTTCTCTCTTTGGCAGGTAGGCACTTCCCAATGCCTAGCCCACATCAGGTGGTAGTGTTCTCCATGGAATGCGTGGGGTTTTCCAAATCCCTTACCACCTTCAGTACTCATAGTCCTACCAAATCTTCAGGCAAGATACTAGATTTAGTACTAGGCCTCTACATGCAGTTTGCTTTGTGTGATTTTTTTTTTTTTTGCATATGTAGAAAGACAGAAAAACTTCTGTTTGCAAGCCATGACATAAAAATTTAAAGCAAAGTTTTGTAACTAAAGCAGCAGTTGAATTGGGCCTTTTTAAAAAAGAAAATTGGCAGTGCTGTTGTATTCTTACTACACTTCATTTGAAATCAATGTTAATTATAAAATGACTTTGACCATGGTTTGAAAGGATCAGAAGTGTTTCATATCTTTGGAGAGCTGCTTGTTTTGCGTTTTGAATATAAGCATTATTATGCATGTGGATTTCTAAGTGTTCATTCTAGACATTACAAAGGAAAGATGTCTTGTTGATATTCAATTTTGATAGTCTGAGAACCCTTTAGGAAAGCAAACAACCTTCAAGTTTTAAATTCAGATTATTATAAATTATCCTGAGGTCCAGAATGAATTCTGCAATGCTTTTCTTTTTGGTACAGATTTGTGCTTTGTAATTTAGTTGGACTTCTATAACACCAAGAACAACAGTCCTACAAATTATCTACTTTTTTAACAGGAAGATTTTGTAAAGATAAATTTACTCGAACGATGGTGACTTTGTACATCACATCTGAATATATATCCATATAAAATATAACTTAAACTATATAATTTTTATTATACTGTTGTTATTGATATTAGATGTATGTTACATATAAAAATGTCTTACCTTGCATTTAAGGAAAGCTGGAAATTCAGTCTGTTTAAATACAGACTTTGTCAGACATTTAGAAAAGTATTTTCAGAGTAGACATCATTAATCAAAAGTGAGTTCTTATTCTAAATCTGATCAGTTTTCTCTGTGGTATTGAATAAATATTTCTCATTATAATTTTTTTAAGGTAAATATATTTGCCATATCAGAATTGTTGGAAGGCATAACTGGCTTTTGTTGGCAGTTCTAAGTTTCCTAGGTGTTGGTAACTGCATAGTGAGGTGTGTTTAATGCTGCTGCTACTGCTGTTTTAAAATGATAATTGTTTTTACTTAGAGGGGTGTTCTGAAATCTATACTAAATGCCTGTCTACTGCATGTTTTTCTTAAAAATGAATGCTGGCTGTCTGATTGCAGAATTAGTAAAACTGTTGGTGGAAGAATCAATGCTGAAACTGAAAATTTAAGGGAAGAAGGGACCTTTTTAAATACTAATTTGTAGGGATAATCAAACACTGGAAATTGGGGCCTAGATGAATTGTGGAGTCTCCATCTTTGGAGTTATTCAAAACTTGAACAAACTAGGCCGTTACCTAATTTAGCCTTATTCTGAGCAAGAGGTTGGACCAGGTCCCTTCCAACCTACATAATTCTATAATTCTGTAGGTCCATTATTTGTTTTTAATGCATGTTTATCTAGAGCAAATTTGGGGGAAAGAATTTTGGAGAAACATCTTTCTCTGTCACTTTAAAAAAAAAAAAAGGAAAAAATAGACCCACAGTGAAGCAGAGGAGTCGGGTTAAAATCAGCTGTATTTTTGTGCCTTTACTGTTATCTCTTGCTTTTTCTTCTGACACACAGAAGCAAACACTGAGAAGTGACTGGAATGCTTGTTCCAGTCAACTATGGCATATTCTTCCATAATATGATTCAGACTTCGTGTAGCTTCCTGTTCTGTTATGCATAACTAGGCTCTTTTTTCTTTAAGCTTATTTTTAGATTTTTGTGAAATATTTTCAGTCTCAAATAAAGATCAAAACCCAAAAATTCTTAACACTAAAAATTCTACTACAAAATAGTAGAATATAGTTGATATATAGCTGAATATAAAATTTCTCTTAAATAAATATGATCTTCCTTTTAGACATAAACTAAAAAACAGGAACAAAAAAATAGTTCCCGGTAGTCTTGCTGACCTCTGTTAAGAATTAGTTTGTATGAAAAACTATTGTTTTATTGCCTCTTTCACAGTAAAGATCAGACAAAGCCTAACAGTTTGAATGCTTTTGAGAGCTGCCTGACATGTTATACTTTCCAGACTTGTTTCTTGGTTTTGCAGTTGCAGCAAATGATTTTGACAAACTGGGTTGCCATTTGAGAATTTATGTTATGTCTTAAAATTGTGGGTGTGTCTTGTTTTCAAAGAGGCAATTAGCATCTGAAAAATAACCCTATTGTTGATTATAGTAGATCTTTTCAGAATCATATTAATATATAGTTTCTCTTCAAAACTGCCTCAGAAAACTGTTTTGTAACTTAAGTGTATATAAAGATGGTAAGTTCTCTATAATCCAGAGGGTTCTTAAGGAAAAATTTGAATTTTGCTTTAACAGTTAGAAATCCATAATTTCATTTCATATATTCAGTTATTCCATGCTACAAGAGTAAATTAAATGAAAAACTACTTCCAAAACTCGAGTATTTTACAAGTATACTGTATACACTTGAAGCTGTCATTTTGGGTTTCAGATGTAGAAAATCAGAAATCTGATAATACTTGATTATTGAGACAAGTTATTTTTCTCTGCTGATTGTTCTAACTTTCCAAGCAATTAAAAAAGTTTTAAAGCAAATACTATTTCTGAGTACTGTCATAGTTGTACTTTCATAGGGAGAAATGATAAACTGTCAGCTCTTACTGTGATGAGTTTTGCCTAACATGCCAGAGATTTTCACACAGATGCCTTGATAATAAGGATGTGCACATAAAATTTATCCATAGGATGTGAAGTCCTGCTGTTAGTCTTATGCATGTATTTCTCTTGTTAGATCCTCTGAATTAATTTGTAGGTTTCGCTTGGTCTCCACAAACTGTTATTCATGACTTCCTAGAAAACTTACTGCCATGACAGATTTTATAAATGTCTGACGTAAAGTAACAGAGCATCTAAGCAGAAGATGAATTTATTGTTTGGCCAAGTTTTGTTTAGGCAATTGAAAAAACAAACCCTTAGAACTCTTGCATTTATCTGCTTGTTGTACCTACTGTGAGGTTTCATCCACAATCTGAAACAAAACCACCACAGAAATGGAACTTGCATTAGCGGTGCTTCAGACTAGATGCTCTCTGCTTCAGACTAGATCCAGCAGTGCTATAATCTGCTACTCAATTTCACCAGCAAATCAGGAACAACAGTAAATAGTGTTCGTTTTTAGACTTTATCTCCAGGAATGTCTTAATCTCAGAATAGATAAAGGGATACAGATTCCTCAAGTTTTAAAGCCTTCCAGCCTGTATAAGGACCTACAACAGCCATGCCAAACTCCTCCTTTTTAATACAGAATTCCCTGTGATATTGTTAGTGATGGAAACTTTGACATAAATGTGAGAATAATTGCCTTTAATTCTGAGCTGGAATTCAAGACTGCAACATTGGGCCTGTTTTCTTACTGTACTTTGGAGTACTGAGTACTTCATTACTTGTATGGCCTTTCTATTCTGTGTTAAAGTCTGTGTCTTCACACTATTAATCTTATTCTTGGTTAAGTCAACCATTAAAACAGATTAGAAGTTTGACTTTGAAGTATTTGCACTGTGAATGATGGAGTTACTTTGATTCAGTACAAGAAGCCTTAGATGGTCAGAACAGGATATATCAACAAAGTTTGTGTATGCCACTAAGTACTTCGTTGTGCTTATCTGATTTTTTGAGAGGTTTCCATTCATTTATTGAAATGTCCACAATGTATATAATGTCTTCAGAAACATCTGAGAGTTTAATATATACTTGCTTTGAGCTTTTCAGTGAATCACTAGTCATTAAATGGTGCATAAATACAATAAAGAATCTACAGTCTTGTGTACATACAGTAAATCAAACTGCAGCTTATGGAACTGAATTGCAGTTGCCACTGTTGAGTGCTAATTCATTAAATTAATCACTTTGGCCACATGGGTTATTGCCCGTGAGAAAGCAGAATATCATGTTGAAAATTTCAGGATTGGTAACCTTGCAAAATTAAAATTCTTTTTAGGTTTGAAGTCAAAGTGTCCAGGAGTGTAGATTTTCACCGGGCTGCTGTTCTAGTTGGCTTTCATAGCTTCCCAAAGAATTAGAAATCTGTGCAGGGCTTTACACTTACTAAAAGGATTTGAGGTGTGATTCAAAATCAGTGTTTCTTTGTCATGTCTGTCATCCCACTCTGTTCTGGGCTTCAGCAGTGCTAATAATTGTTGATGCCTTCAGTCAAGGGTGATGCTTTTTTTAAGAGGACTTCTTCATAATTTTACATCTCTTAATGAGGACTTGCATTTCTTGTAGGGTCATGGGGTGTTGATGCTTCATGTCTGCACACAGTCTTCAATAAAACACAGTAACTCTGTCTTGCATTTTAGTTTTTTGGGGAAATTGAAAGAGATCTGCCTTTTAGCTCTTCCTGGGAAGCTGGAAAGGAGGTGATGTGAGCAACAAGTCTTTTGAATATCACTGCATGTATTAGATCTTGGCAGAAATAGAAGCATTTTCCATGTCTGACAGATTACAATAATCTTGGAAAGTAACATAAATTTTACATTTGTCTTATAAGTAAAATGAGACCCAAGATAAATGTAAACGTGTAAAAGAGTTTTAACTAGAAATATGAGAAATTTGAAAGTGAATATAATTGATGATCTGAAATCCCAAATGACAAAGTCAGATTCTTAATGAATTTGTTAATTTATTTAAAGATTTTTAGAATGCAAAAAAAGAAATTGGCATCAGTAGTATGTAGGTCAAACCACTTAGATGGTTGTGCATTTGCCTTAAATACTGAATTTGTTTCCAATGGCTAGCTTGCAGTATTCTTAAAGATACAGAGAATGATCCAACAGAATGGAAAAAAGTACTGTTTTAAAGTAAAGCATTTGCTTTTTGAATTCTGTTTAGAAGAACAACCTGCAAGCATATACTTGCTTATTTCTGTATCATGCAACACTTGCTCCTTATTTTATGCCTAGTGAATTTCTTTTTTTTGAGCAATTGATAAAAATTCATACAGTGATGCATGTGCATGCTCTTTCTTACCCGATGAGCTTTAAATAATGAAATGAAAAGGCATTGTACTGAAGCTATTATATTTGCGACTTTTAGTACAGGTAAGTGGATTTCAAATAATATCCCTAACAGGAAAAAAAAAATTATGATACAGTATAGTAGTGCAACACAAACTGTTGAAATATACCAGTTTCAAGATGAAAGATGAGATGCTGTCTTCAGCTTTTATTAGATTATCTATATAAATTTATTTTATAGTTCAGCTGCTTGTAGTGGAACTGGTTGTCTTCTTACATGGTCAAAAATGTTTTTGAAAATCCTTGGAAAAACATGGGTTTTTCTGGTCCAAAAATGACCAGAAATTATGAAAAAATTCCATCGGCCACTGTGAACACAGAGAATTTGCCCATTTCAAAAAGAAATTAAAAAAAACACATGAAAAATCATAGTTGTGAGGTATAAAAAACTCAAGTTGTTTTTTTTTTAAATCAACTTAAATCTTACCTCCCTCAGTGTTTACAGGTGGCTCAGTTTGTGTTATGAGCATGTAAGTCCTATGTGGAATATAACTGTTCTTAAATGAGCGCTGTTTTTCTTTCATCCAGAGTGTTAGACCTTCTGTTTTCAAGTGATTGGAGTACCCATAAGAGTTTCAAAGCAAGTAGTCTTTCAAGCATATATCAAGACTCAAAAGTCTCCTGTGGATAAAACATGTAAACAAAACAAAATGAGGGTTTAGGAAATACTTCTTTGTAGTTGTTCACTCCAGGCATACATAGGCGTGCTGGCTCTTCTTATGCCATCCCCAGCATTGTTAACAGGAGAAAGTAATTTCAGAAGCTTCAATGGAAGTTAGTTTTGTGGGCCCTTGGTAGCAGAAGGGAATAAGGAAAGTTAAAACAATAAAGCACCCATTTACATTTGTAATGTTCATATTAGTTCATTCTTGCAACGAGTCTGGCCCAACATGTTGATGCTTGAACTCAGTGATAGGGATATGTAATCTCCAGTTCAGCTCTTTTAGCCTGCAGATTTCCTTTCTTTGAACCTATTTATTACTTTTGTTACCTCAGTCAAAGACTCAAATCATAAGGCAACCCATATTCCCCTTTACTTAAGAGGTGTTTAGATGAGATCTTTTATGACTAACTGCCTGATCTCGTTATTGCTCTATGCAAAATAAAAAAAAAACCAAACACTTAAACAAGAAACAAGCAAAAAGTTTTTCTATACTCTTCTTCCCCAACTGCTTTTTTTTTTGCACTTAAAAAAAGTGGAGTGGGGTGGAACTTAAGTGTGTTCTGTGATTCTTTTGGGTGATGTTGTAGTTTCAAATCTCAACTGGAAAAGAGAAAATGTAAAAAACTGGAAAAAAGTATATGTTTAGTACTTGGTTAAATAGGTTTTGAAAGTTTTGGGGACTTCAAAAGGCAGTTTGAAAAATCTACTCCCTCTTTATCTTAATGTTTTAGCTTTCTTTTTTTTAGCTAAATCTTGAACCCATTCAATTGTTTCACTGTAGAAACTAATCTCCATGCATTACATTTATCTACTTGAAAATAAAAAACAAGTTTTACAATCAAGTAGGAAATGGATTCAAGTCCATTTTGTCTGTAATGGAAGATGAATGAAGGCTACCATGTTGTATCAAATCTCCAAATATGATTCCCTTTCTCCCTCATCCCTTCCACTTCAGAAATATTCTGGAGAGCCAGAACACTAGCTTACTGGTCAGGGACAGTGACAATCAATATCATTCATCCTGTAATAACAGAAAGGCTGTATTGGAATACAGTCCACCTACCAAGAATTGGAATGGTTTCAAGTCATCAGATGGTTATGTGAGCCTCTTTTTAAGTAAGCCATTACTTTTTCCATATTTGTGAAGTTGATACTTCTCAATTAACAAGAAAATAAGGGATCTGATATGAGGCTTGCTTGTTTGTTCATTTGTGATATAACTGCATTAAGATGTTCCCGATAGCTTGGATAAGCTATTTCCTTGAGTACTGTGATCATCAAGAATGTAATTCAAATAAATCTGTTGTAGACACTTCTTATTCTGAAAAAAGTAAATGGTGGGGGAAGTGAGGGGACCCCTCAACTCCTAGGAGTTAGAGTATTATTACATAAAATTAGTCTTTCCCTAAAGGTATATATCAGATTGTATTAGTTAAAGTGGGATCTTTTATATTTGCTAAAGAAATATATTGTCAGGGCATATGGATTTATCAGAATTGTACGGTTTATAAAAAAGTACAGACCTCCTCTGGAAGGAGACATGCAGTTAGAACTTGGAGGAGGAATGGCAAGCTTAGATATTTGCACTATGTAGTCTGAAAAACAAGACTCTTGGCTTGTCTTAAAAAACAAGCATGATCAGTATTCAGTAGTGCTATTTAAAGTAAATTAGTTTTGCAGTATTGTTGCTTGAGCAATTTGTCATCTTTGTAGGAAGAAAGCTTCCAATGCAGTTATGGGTGTACTCTACTACTCTATATTTGTGCTGGGGGTTTTCCCCTTCTAGAGTTGTAGTTATATATTAGTTTTGCATATTTGAGGATTAACATTTGCTATGCTTATTTGCTACAGAAATGTTAAGATAAAATTCTGAAAACTTGTAATGAGGAAGATTTTTACATTCTATTATAAATCTCTTTATTAAAAGCAGTAGGGAGGTGGAGTAGACAATTTAAAGCAACATACTGTATTTTCTTCCTCTGTAGATGATGGAGAGAAACAGCAAAAACGTTACAGACTTTCATCAAAAACCTCTCCAAAAGAGAGTTCTCAGTCGCCTGCATTGCCATTGGTAGACCAAGAATCTTCATCTTCCAAGGAAAGGTTTATTCCTCCTGAGCTTAGCATCTGGGATTATTTCATTGCAAAGGTAATTTTTTGCTATTACGACAGTTAAATATCTTCTGTCACTTCTGGAATGGTAATTTTTTTCTTCTTAGTCTTTATTCTAGGTATTAATTTAGATGTGTGATAGAAGCTGCCTGTTTTTATTACTCGTATTTAGCTTTTTCTAAAACATTGCCTATAGATATTTTTGAAACAGCTTTCTTAAAAACTGTAGTTATGAAGTTTACTTGTTTTCAGATAATGCTATGAACAAAACATTTGCTTTTTACAGTTGCAGAGTAGGAATGTATAGGTGATTAGGGATAAGCTGTTTAGATGGACAAGGAAATGTTGAGAAGCTTTTTATCATCTCTTTCAAATGGGTGAAATGAACGTTTATACTTACTAGAAATCAAATTATGTTGTCTTCTGTCAAGTCTCCTGTGGCAGATCATTATTTGTAGAAAGTTAAAGAATTGTATGGAGTTGTATGGCACATTTCTATATCAAATATTAGCCATATCAGCAAAATAAATATGTAAGCAGTATTTTGGGAGCAAGGACAAAAAAGAAATTGCCAATACTGAGTAACACAGGGGGGCACTGATGGTGGGCTTGTCCTAAATACTGAACTCTGTAGACAGGGGATAGGATTTTCTTTTTCTTTAGTCCTCTGAGCCCTTGGAAGAACTAGAGAGAAAATACAGTAGTGGTTTTGGTTTCTACCTGGCAGACAACAAGCTTGTGTGTCCTATGTGTGGTTTGATATATCTGACATGAAAGTAAAGCAAAATAAGAATTGGAAAACTGTTAGTATTTTCATTTTCAGTATTAGAATTTTGAGTAACATAAAAAAATGGTTAAGCTGTTAAAGTATGCAGTGCTCATGGACAGGTACCCTTTTCATGAGGTACAAACTGCAAATGTTACTAAAAATAAGATGATATGCCTGCTTTTTTATAAAAAGCATAAAATATAATGATGTATTTTTCAAAAGATAATTTAAGACTAGATGTGGGCTAGAAGATACTCAAGGAATATTGTTTAAATTTTTAGCCTTTCCTTCCATCGCAAGGTAGAGTGGAATATGATTCAGAAGAGAGTCAGGAAAGTGGTGAAGATGATGAAGATATTGATGGTGATGTGTTTGCATCAAATTCACATAATCAAGAGCATTCTAATTCAAATTCATACAGGTAAGTAACTCTTTAGAATGCAAAATGTTCTGCAATGGCTGGACTTGCATTTCTGGCCTTTTATTTTTGAGATAATACACCAGTTACTTGATAAGGCACAGCCATAAAATAACTAGACTTAATAGTTAATTTTTCACAATGATTATTTTACATGTTTTATTAATACATGATATAGTGACTTTTGAATTCAAAGTATCTCTAATATTCTGAAATACTGTTTGTAGCTATCAGCAGTTTATAATGAAGATTTAAAGCTCTACATTTAAATCCTAATTGTGAATAAGTGAGAAAAATTTATTTTCCTATTAGTAAATGACTTACTAGTGCTTTCTTGTTAGTTGGTCACTGATGAGATTGGCAATGGTTCAGCTGGTACTTCACAATTTGAAGATTTTCTACCCTTTGGCTGGACATGATCTTTCAGGTAATGAGCAGCAGAGTTGTCTTTCCATACTTAACTACATTTAAAATCAGTGATGTGTTGAATAATATGTATGTTGTAGCTTTATTTTTAGTTTAAAAGTTCCTAATTTTTCCATGATCTGGGAATAATTGTTCTGATACTGTTTATTATATAGGTATATTTATGAAATAACATGGTGGGTGGGTAAGATGAGTGGGTGAGAAGGAATGCTCAGTAGTTAGCAGAAGTCTCTGCATACTTAGTTTTTTCTTTGCCTCTTAGTCATGGACGAATGTTTACAATATTTATTTCTTGGTAGAAGCCCTATAGTCCTTTGTAATTCAAGTTACATCGTTCCTACTCCTTGTTTCATAGAATCATGGAATGGTTTGGATTGTAAGGGACCTCTTAAAGATGATCTAGTCCAAACCCCCAGTTGTGGGCAGGGACATCTTTCACTAGATCATGTTGTTCAAAGACCTATCCAAGCTGACTTTGAACACTTTCAGGGATGGGGCATCTACAGCTTCTCTGGCAACCTGTTCCAGTGTCTCACCATCCTCACTGTAAAAAATTTCTTCCTTATAACTAACATAAATTTATTCTCTTAGTTTAAAACCATTACTTCTTGTCCTATCGCTACAGGCCTTGGTAAAATGTCTGTCCCTATCTTTCTTATAAATCCTCTTTATGTATTGAAAGGCTGCAGTAAGGTCTCCCCAGAGCTCCTCTTCTCCAGGCTGAACAACCCCAACTCTCTCAGCCTTTCTGCATAGGAGAGGTGTTCCATCTCTGACCATTTTTGTGGCCCTCCTCTGGACCCGCTCTAAAAGGTCCATGTCTTTCTTGTACTGGGGCCGCAGAGCTCGATGTAGTACTCCAGGTAGTGTCTCATGAGAATGAATTAAAGAGGGTGAATCACTTCCCTCACCCTGCTGCCCATGCTTCTTTTTATGCAGCCCAGGATATGGTTGGCTTTCTGGGTGGTGAGCACACATTGCTGGCTGACCAGTATCCCCAAGTCCCTGTCTGCAGGGTGGCTCTCAATCCCTTCATCCCCCAGCCTGTATTGATACTGGTGATTGCCCTAACACAGGTGCAGGACCTTGCACTTGGCCTTGTTGAACCTCATGAGGTTCACATGGGCCCACTTCTCAAGCCTGTCAAGGTTCCTCTGGATGGCATCCCTTCTTCTAACAAATCAACTATACCACTCATCTTGGTGTTATCTGCAAACTTGCTGAGAGTGCACTCACTATTACTGTCTATGTCATTATCAAAGATAGTGAACAGTACCGACCCCAATACACACCCCTGAGGGGCACCACTTGTTACTGATCTCCATTTGGACATCAAGCCATTGACCACTAGCCTCTAGATGTGACCATCCAGACAGTTTGCTATCCACTGAACAGTCTGCCCATCAAATCCATATCCTTCCAATTTAGAGAGAAGGATATTATGGGGCACTGTGTTAAAGGCCTTACAGAAGTCCAGATAGATGACATCCGTAGCTCTTCCCTTGTCCACCTTTTCCAGCTCTTTGGATGCAGTCATTCAGCCAATTCCTTATCCATCGAACAGTCCATCCATCAAATGCTTATCGCTCCAATTTAGAGGTAAGGATCTTGTGTGGGACTGTGTCAAAGGCCTTACAGAAGTCAAAAGCAGAGAACATCAGTTGCTCTTCCCTTGCCCGCTGGCACAGTCAATCCATTGTACAATGCCACTGGATTAGTCAGGCACAATTTGACCTTTGGGAAGCCATGTTGGCTTTCTCTCATCACCTGCCTGTCATCCATACACCTTGACATAGCTTCCAGGAGGATGTGTTCCATGATATTTCATTTCTGTCAGCATTGGAGAAGTCTGTTCCTGTATTTAGCAATGATAGCACAAAGCAGTTCATCTTTTTATACTTACAAATATCAAGGTGAAGTTTGAATAAAGCTTACTTTTGGAGATATTTGAAATACACTTCAGCCTTCGGCTGTGGAATTATCTTTGTTGAGGTTATAATGGAGAAGGAAGGTTTTTTATTGTTGTTTACTTTTCTTTCTAGAGCTTCCAGTTAGCTCCCCAATATGCCATGCAGTTCTGAAAACACTACAGCGCTGGGAACAAGTTCTTCTCCGACGTCTTGAGCTATATGGGGGTCCACCTCAACATTATATTTCAGTTCATGCTTCTGAAGATGCCTTAGCTGCTGGTCCTGCACTGCTTCGCCATAAAACTTTACTTGAGCCTACAAACACTCCTTTCAGGTGAGTCTAATTTCTATGAACACTGACTATATTATCTTTAATATACGTCAAGCTTTGTTGTTAATGCATGTGACAGACCATGACTTCAATAACTATATAAAGCCAGTTTCTAGACTTGCTTTAATCCATTGTGAACTTGTGGGTACACATCAGAATTCATGCACCTCTGGTCTAAAGCAAGATCAGGAAAAACAAAAGTTTCTAATTTTTGTAAGTTCTTTTATTGAAGCTTAACATTGATTTTGAGTGCCTCTGTGGAAAAACAATGGTTGACAACAAAATAACGAATAACAAATTTGCCCTGAAAGACAATTAAGGATGAGGGACAATGAATTAAATAATTGCCCCACTTTTGGAGGGAATAAAATTACATTCTTATCAATATCTTTTCCTAAGATGAGGTAAGAAATACTTACTATTTATAATATTTGCATAGTTGTGATTCCATATAATTGCATGTTCAGCCAGAAAAGTCTGGTCAGTTTCTTAAATTGTCACTTTGTAAATAGATTCCTGCCTTTTTAATCTTACTATCACCTGTGGTTGCAGAATCAACAGAAAGTCTGTCTTTTTGTTGTCAAATACCTCACAACTGTCACACTTAGTTTTAGTAACTTGAGCTGATTAAAAAGGAAGAGCTTAACATGTATCTGCTGCCTGGCATTATTTTTAAATTATGATTTAAAGCGATTCAAGGTTTGATGGATTTTGGCCTGCCATAAGCAGCTGTATTTGTATTTACAAGTTTTACTTGAGCATACAGTTTCTAGGGATAAGCATAAACATTTGAAGTCTGATCTGATTCTGCAATCCTTCCAATTTTGTTACTGGAAAGTCATGGATGTTTCAGAGATGTTACACAGCTGGTGATGTGTTCCTAGCAGGAAGTGTTAGTCATTCATTGTCCATGTGATAGAAGCACTCATTAGCAATTGTTGTGGTTTAACCCCAGCCAGCAACTAACCACCACACAGCCACTTGCTCACTCCCCCCCGTGGGATGGGGGAGAGAATCTGAAGAGTAAAAGTGAGAAAACTCATGGGTTGAGATAAAGACGGTTTAATGGGTAAAGCAAAAGCCGTGCGCGCAAGGAAAGCAAAGCAAGGAATTCATTCACTACTTCCCATGGGCAGGCAGGTGTTCAGCCATCCTCAGGAAAGCAGGGCTCCATCAC